GGTATTTTTCTTTTTCTTTCTGGCTTATTTCACTAAGCATCATCCAGGAGAAGGTTATATACTTTTTTAAGGGTTTTCCAAATAGTAAATTGTATAGTTTATAACCTTATTTCTCTACTTTAGCCACTAATCAGTACTGATAGCCATTTAATCTTCATCAATTTATTAACCGAAAAACTGGTAACTTGTTTGAGTTTCTTTGATTACTGGTGAGGCTGAATACTTAATACATATACTTTATTTTCTTCTTTTGTGAACCAAATTAATTTTACTGGAACTTGCCAAGAGCCTTCCTAGGTTTTAAAAAAAGGATTTTAATGAAAATTCTATGAGCTGGCTACTAGCTGGCCACTCATGGACAACTGTGACCTATTTGCTAACTGCAAATCACACCCGAGAATTCCATATCTACCTACAGAGTAATATCCCAAGGCAGACGCAGGGACATGTAGGCTGTCATTGACCTGATTACTCAACTACCTCCTGGTGGTCTCGGATAATGCTGCTTGTGATAATAACATCAAATATTTTGCTAATGCAAATGTCCCTTGACATAGGGTCACGATGTCCTCTTCTCTGTTCCTCATAAAACTTTGTTGCCCATTCCAATCCTGCCCTCCGTTCTTTATTCCTCATATCATTGTCTCATGATCAGCTTTCACTGACCTGTATGCTTTCCATAAATGGCACAAGAACTGCTGCTCATGTGCCAGAAGCTGGCCTTGCAAACCTGCTCCAGGACTGCTGTGACAATCATTACATTCCTGCTGCAAAGTGGCCAACAGAGTTCCTGTGGCAGCAGTACATGACAGAGTAGAATAGGAAACACTGGGTTAAACAAAATAAACAGCCTTATTAGAGTTAGGCTGCCGGGACTGCTGAATTTTTCCTAAAGATGATTAAATTTTTCTTGTACTTTACTTACTAAGAAACTGATATGTGTTTTAGTATTCTGAGTACACATAAGTAGTCTTGGCTCTTGGGCGCATTATTCTAGTTGCTCTGTGAAAAGTATGAATTTTACCATGGATAAGTGTGACTTCAGACTTGCCACTGCCAGCCACCCCACCACATGCCCAGCCCCCTCCCCCCATGTCAGGTGTGAAGTGTTGTTAACCCTGAACACACCAGACTAGATTGAACATGGAATCTACCCCAAACCTGGCCACCCAGTGAGACCGTCTGCAAGACCCAGACAGGCTTGCTTTGCTGCATCTATGGAGCAGGTCTAGGCATGATGCACATTCTTCTCTCCTTAATCATGAGGCACCTCTTAAGAGAGTTTACAGAGTGTTTACACACTTCTAACACTTAGTATGTGGGCTCATTCACTCTTGCTTTTATCCTGAGTCTTGATTTACATGCAAATACTTTAGTACATGATTTCAACATCCTGTTAGATCCTGGGGAGAGTGGAAAGAGAATATAGCTATTTGGGGCTTTTCTTTTAAAAGGGTAAAACTTAAAGACGAAAGGGGTCAATTGTAGACATGAAGAAAGCAGCAAACTTTTTATTCAGTAGAAAATAAGATTCACCAGGCATTTTAAATAAAATAAAGCAACAAGATTATATCTGTTAAAATTGATGAGTGATTTATCTTTTCCAGTTATGCAACATGAGCTGGTGATATCGAGACATTTTCAAACACACATGTACCTTTTTGTACTGGGCTTATGATTGGGGTGAGACCTCAGGTGGTGGGGCGAAGGACTCACCAAATGGAGAACAGGAAAGGCAGACTTGCTGGAATACCCTGCAAGGGAGCAATGGGCAAGTGGGGAGAGGTCTGCCCATAAAGAAGGAGTTGAGGTTCTTTTTTATACAGTTTTCATGGACTTTCTAATTTGGGGTGCCAGTTTGTACCAGTTATCTGTTAGGAAGTCTGGTCTTGGACACTGTCCTTTGACACAGAAACATGCCCTGTGTTCTGCGTCTGTGTTCCTGGAAGTGAGCTGGTTTTTCTGACCTCCCAGGTCAGTCTTGTGACCTAGTCTCCAAGGCAACCTTATCAATTCCTTATCTATTCACACATCCTAAATGTGCCTGTGGGGCCAGGAGTGGGTATTATACAGTAGACACTTCACGTTTTCAATTGACTTCAGAAAATAAACTGTTATAAAATTAAAAAAAAAAAGACAAACCAATTGACTTCAGAAATTGACTATTTGATTCCTCCTTACTTGTTTCTAAGTTTTCTGGAGTTTATGATCATCCTACCTGTTTCACACGAATGATCTTCACATCAACTGTACTAATCACATTGCCTGAAAGTGATAACTGATGATTTATGACGTCAACTCCATTCTCCTGGACTTTACTGGTAGTTATTCTTCCTCTGGCCATTTAAATGAATACTTATACTCTTTAGAAAGAATCTAGATCTGTTAGAATTAGAAGGGATTTTAGAGACTAAACAATGCAATTTTTGTCATTTCTTGGAAGAAAAAAAACTGAGAACCAAAAGGCAGTGTGAACTGCCAAAACACTAGTTAGTAGCAAATAGGAGCTAGCTGCAAACCTTCTTAATTTCCCTGATCCAACACTGCTTTCCACATTATTTAACTCATAATTTTTTTTTAATGGGTGAATGAAAATAATTGTTCTATCCATTACATCTGCCTCTACAACTTTCTGGTGGTATTGTAAAAAATTAAGTTTATTATAATCAACACTTATTTTTTTTTAAATTAACAACAGTGGTTAAAGACACATCTTTCATTTGATACATAATGTCTGGTTTCAACAAGTACACTGCTTACAAACTATGGCTTAGATTGTTAATGAAAAAGTTTGTTCATTATGGGATTTCTCTAAGGATGAGAGAAAGCGTTAGAGAACTTGGGAAGGCCCAGTGGGGACAGAAGCACCCATAGTTTCACTCACATGTCAGATGATTTCATGGCTACCGTCACAATACCAGCGAGCCCTCCTATCAGACCCGGTAAGCCGTGCAGGTTATGGACCCCACAGGTATCTTGGATCCTCAGTTTGGAAGCAAAAAATGGCTGAAATTATAAAAAAAAAAGGGGGGGGGATGCTATATAATGAAAATAAATGATCAAGCAGGAAAAATTTTTATGAACTGTCTAGTTCTCCATTCACATCTAAAATTCATTTGTTGAGAACTCTGAAAACACGTTGCAAAACTGCTCTTTCAGTCATTAGTAAATGGCTTTGAAGGTGAGTGATATCAATCCTATTGATCTACTGATATCTTCAATATTTTTAAAAAAAAAAGACTCTGAATCCCTAATTATATATAAAATAACCAAGCAACAAAAACTCTAACTGAATTACCCCAGATGAAAGTAACACAAGTGCTTGCATTCAGCTCATTCTAAGCTGCAAATAACTGAGATCAGATTCTTTACTGCAAACACAGAAAACTCAGGAAAATATAGGAAGCACAGGACTCCTGCAAAGTGAGTGTTATTTCTGACAGGAAGGCAAATCACCCTTGAAAAGAAAAGGTGCTTATGGGAGGGATTTTCATAGCTGTTCTCTCCAGGTGCAATGTGAGAAGGTGAAGGTGCAGATTCAAAGTTTGACTCAGAGCATCCATCAAACTTACAGTCAGGAACTTGTACCCAAGCACAGAGACTATTCCTGCAAGGCTCCCAATGATCATTGCCCCATAGGGGTTAATCTCCATGTCTGCACACGTTCCCACAGCCACTCCGCCAGCAAGGGTTGCATTCTGAATGTGGACCTGTGTGGAGGACAGGGACAAGGATGAGGAGAGCTAACCCAGGTCAGGCAAACTGAAGGATTCTTGAATCCGGTGCACACAGTGGCCTATTCTTTAGTGGAAAGGGCTACTGATTCTTTGTAATTCCAGAAAACATTTCTTTCAAGTAGCTGATTTTTTTTTAAGTGCTAGAATGACTTTTAGTTATTTATTTACTCATTTATTTATTTTTAACAACAACCACTGTGGTTTATTTATTTATTCCAATTTTACAGTTTTATTTATGCATACTTGGAGAGCATCAGGTCTGCTGTTGCCAATAATTTCTCAGGCAGGAAGGTTTGATTTTATGTTTCTATGAAAATGAAAACTTGTCTCCCTTTTGTTTCTTATCATTCAAATTGCAGCTAGTAGCTTACATCCATGTTCTTGTCTACTTAGGTCATTTTAATATGTTAGAAAGTAACTACCTGTCTGTTCTCTTTCTTTTGGTCGTAGCCCTTAATCATGTTAACCTGTTGGAAAAATCTTCAAAAACTATGTTTCTGTGATCAAAACTACTAAAAGTTAGTACTTGTGTTCTGTTATGTTATTCCTATTACCTTGTCTTTTCTTCCTTTTTTACTTATTTATTTTTTAAAGATTTATTTATTTATGTATAAAAGAGCTGGAGTATAGGCCAGAGGTGCAGGGGGTGAGAGGCTTCACCAGAGACAGAGTAAGGGGCAAAACAGGCAGATCCACGAAGCACACTGCTGAGGGGAGTAGTGGGCGGGTCAGGAAAGGTCTGCCACGCCATGTGGATCACCTCCCAGGCAGGGATCCAACCCCTACAGAAGCGGCTGCGGCCTGCTGCCAGCTTGCAATGCTGCGTCCTCACCCCTTGCGTCACCAGGGAGGGCTCAACCACGCAGTTGACTTTTAATGTCTTTCTCACCAAGGGTCCTTGGCAGAGCATGAGCAGTTTAGAATCTAGTTGAGGCCAAGTATGAGAAACTGTAAAGAAGTTTTAGTGGAATGCTGGAGTGTATAGAACAATTATCCAAATGGAGTATTTGTGGGGGTCTGATATTGGAAAGAAAGGAATTGGGGTTTCCTTTTATAACTTGTTTTATAACTGGGAAGGTGGTCTCTGACTGTTGCTATCTGCTGGCCATCATGCATTTGATGAGTAAATGTATGAGTGTATGTTAATGTATGAATGTATAAGTGTATGATAAATAAATGTGCATTCAAAATATGCTTCAAGTTCTGAAGTTTTGTGATCTGTTCTGATAGCTCAGCAGTGCTTCAGAAATGGCTTACCTTTGAACCACCACCACCAATGTTGCTCGGTGAAATCTGCATGGGGGTTCATGGGCACTCACCATATCGAGTTTTCCTCGGTGCTCAACAAGGCTGGACAATGCGTAGGCTGTGACCACACAGGCAGCTAGAGAGAAGTAGGTATTTACAATGGCCCGGTACTGATTGTCTATAGGTTCAGCAATGGCCGAATTAAAGCTGGGCCAAAACATCCATAGGAAGAGAGTCCCTGGGATAAACAACAAGAAAATATATTAGTTTTGAACTTGGAAGACAGTCCAGGTGAGGCCTACTTGGGCACTAATGAAGTGTCTACTACTGGAGCAATGAGTCATCATAAACAGAAGGAAAACTCAGAGAATGTTCCTTCTTGAACAACTTTACAATTTCATTGGACTAAACCTCCCCCATGAATGATCAGATAATCAAGAACCAGGTAAATTCATCTCTGCTCACCAATCATTGCAAACAAGTCCGAGTGGTACACAGACTCCTCGTTTTCATGCCCTGCTCTTAGGCCAGGTCGATATAAGATGCCTGCTGCTGCTAAGCCAAAGTAGGCCCCAAAGGTATGGATGGTCATTGATGCTCCAACATCAGATGCCTGAGGGGCAAACCAGTCAGGTAAATGGAAATCATGATATTGAGTCTCACAATGGAAGTAAAGTCAATTAAAGAATGCTGTCTTTGGTCAAATGATAAAAATAGTAATAAAGAAAGAGAAAGAATACTGGAGAATGGAAAATAAATGGGTAACACTTAAGAAAAATTACAGGCTTTGAAGCCACAAAAAAAAAAATAAACTTTCAATTCTAAATAAGGCATGCCTCTGAGATGTAGATTTAGACAACTATACTCTTCTGAAATCTATGTTTTGTAAACTGGAGAAAGTATTACCCAACCAAGAGGGCTGTGATGAGACTTAGAAGAGATCATGTGTGTAAAATATTAGTCCCTAGTGGGTACTCAACATACTCCTAATAAGGGAGATTTTCAATTAAATATTATGCATGACATTTTGCATTCAGTTGACACTGCAATTACACTCAATTGCAAATCAAAGACGTGATGCTTCAAAAGCCCTAGTTCTTCCCACAGTTTTTTCTTCTATATGGCAACATGAAAACCAACTGAGGTCTAAGCTTCATTTGAAGCCCTTTTAGGCCACAGTATGAATTTGATCCAGTTTTCTTGCCTCTAATGGGTAGTTCAGAGTTCCAAAGCAAATGTATTTATAAAGGGAGGAAATGATGTTGACTTAATAATTTAGATAACTAAATCCTAAGTAATGTACTATTTTCATATAATAAACTCCTAGATACATTTCAGCTTAGGCTTAATTGTCATGTCCTTGGAGAACCCTTTGTGGATTCCCCAACCTAAACTAAGTCTTCCTGTTATACTCATTCCTAGTGCTGTCAACTTGTTTTGATATCTTGTATTACAATTTATAATATTTGAGTGTGTGAGTGTGCATGTGCATATGTGTGTGTGAGCACACCTGTCTATGTGTGGGTGGATCAATGCACGGTTAGTGCTTGTTATCTGTCTCCACCAATAGATTGCAAACTTTATAAACAGAGGAGCTCTAATCTATTGGTCACTGAATACCCAATACATAACCCCTAGAAAAGTATCAGAAATGTTTGCTATTGAGTTAAATTCTTGGTAGAAATATATTAAAATACCAGAAAGTACCTGGGAATGTATCTTGGGGTAGCAATGAAATTTTCATGGAGCAGAAAAATTTAACTAAACTGTGGGTCTGCTAATCTTAAATGGCCTATGCAGCCTCCATTTTGTTACCTACAGTTCTGTATTCCTAAAGCAAAGTCAGAATTGTGTGGTCTTAAGAGCACAACCCTACCAGGTGACTTTCAAATCAATTAAGAGCATAAAGCTGGAACACTCTTGGAAGGATATGCATCAAGAGGTATGGCCGGGAATGCCTGGGGGGCTGATGATGGATGCATAAACTTACTCCTGACTAAAACATCCTGAGGTGTGACTGGGAAAGCCTGGGGGGCTGTAGGCTGATGTATAACAAAGGACCCCAAAAACTAATCAGTGGAAAGCCTTATTGATAAGATTGAAATCTAGACTGGGGAATCAGGGCTGGATCTACATACCAAGCAATCAGCAGATGAGAAATACAGCTCCACCCTTCCCCTGCTTCTTCTACTTCTCCCTTTCCTTTTCTACTTCCTCATATGACTAATGCTGTTTATCAGTAAAAAGGCCAGGATCTTGCTCTTGAGCAGCAGCCTGCATGATGTAGCCTGCTCTATGACTTCCTGCCCTACACAACACTAGACTGTACCAGAAACCCTGGAAAGGGCTATTCATCTAGCAGTTGAAAAAGGAGTTGTTTATTGTTATGAAATATAACATAAAAATAGAGCTGTGGAGTTAGAAAAATTTTCATTTGAATTTAGATTTAGGAAAGACATACACATGATTCTCTATACACAAACAATAATGGTGACATAGATTTTACAATGTTGTTGTGGTGATGAAATAAGATCTTTCTAAAACTTCTGGTTTATAGTAGGCACCCAAGTAAATTATAACTATTAATTACTATTTGCTACGATATAACTTTCACCCAAGTTTGCCCTTGTGTAAAGTGGGAATCTATTATGTGTTGTGGCCCCCAATATCCAAAGTTAGGCAAGTGTAAATCTTCTAACCCTTACCTGAAACTTCTCCACAACCAGATGTTCATTGCCAGCAAAGATAGTAATTTCTATAATCGTCATGATCAGCATCTGGACTGGACTTGTTTTTCCCAGGACAGCTCCAAAGGAAATCAGAACTGTGGCTGTACTGAAGTCTGCGTTTATCAAGCTGAGGGGGGAAAGAAAGAATATTTGAAGAAAAACAAATGATAACATCGCCTTATCCAGAGTACGAGGTCCTTGCCAGACCTCATGTGGAGATTCTTCCAAGCCTAAGTCTGTCCTTTCCTACTTCCTTACCCCAAATCTCCTCCATTTATCAGGCACTCTAAAGTTGCTTAGCATTTCCTTTATTTGGATTTATCTGCTCTTTATCTCATTTAGGACTTTACTTTCTTTTTTTGCTGATCTGAATTATTTCCTGGGATGCTTGTAATATTGCACAATCTAAATGCATGTCTACATTTTAAAAACAGTCTTAGAAAAATAGCTAATGAAGGGTTTTCCCTCTGTAGCTGAGATGGAAGGTTTAATAATTATATGAAAGGGAATTTCTCATACCCTAAATTTGAGCCAAAGAGGGTGTAGGCATGAGCGTATGACCCAGCTCTGTAGGCGATAGCACTCACTTGGGTGTTTGGGCCCAACAACCATCTGTTGCCCAAGGGAGGCAATTTGCCAGCTTGTCAATTTTAGAGTTTGACAAGAGACTTAATAGGAAAACAGTTGTATTGAAAACACAATGCTGGAAAAGTAAAGGGTGTCACCTCTTGATGCCAATGAGAATTTTCTCTCCGTGGCTGTGTAGGAGGCCCTGTGCAATAGTGCCCCACTGGAGACCCAGAGCGGCGATCAGCAGGTTGATGCCCACACTGCTGAAACCATATTTCTTCAGGAAGGTCATGAGGAAACCAAATCCAACAAATATCATAACATGCACATCCTGGAATACTAGAAAAGAGCAAGGGAGAACAAACCTGGATTAGGGGAGCATTAAGAAAGTGTCACTTTATAAATATCCCATTTATTAAGTGGACATCCTTTGCATAAGACACTGTGAAGGGAGAACATTAAGTGGGCAGCAAAAGGCTGGGTTCCAGTGCCATTTGGCTACTACCAGCTACAAGACCTTGAGCCAGTTTTTGGTATTTGAGCCTTTTTCCTGAAACACTGTACTACCATTCCAGAATGCCTGTCATCCTCTCCTGAGAGTCTTTCATTATTTTCCACTAGGGTGTGTGCATACCCCATTTTAAAAAGACTTCCCCGACCCTCCCTGGTGGCGCAGCACGTTAAAGCACAGCACTACGAATCTAAAGCCGCTTCCACATGAGTTCGATTCCCGCCTGCCCCGGAGGTGACCACAGGGCGCGGCAGACCTTCCCTGACCCTCCCGCTGCTCCCCTCAGCAGTGTACTTCATGGATCTGCCTGTTCTGCTCCCCGCTCTGTCTCTCACCTCTCTGCCTCTCTGGCCTGTACCCCAGTTCTGTATGAATAAATAAATAAATTAAAAAAAAAAAAAGACTTCCCCAACAGTCCTAGTGGAAATCATATTTCCTGTTGATATCCACGCTGCTTTCTGTCTTTAACCTTAGCTTTGCTATTTGCCATACGCATTGGCATTTGTTGCAATTATTTAGTCCATGAGGTGTCCTTTCCCTGCACTGTGCTATGAGTTTCCTGATGAAGGGATTAGGCATAGTCATCCTTTGCACCCCAGGTTTTCATTTGCTCCCTGGGCATAAAAGCATGCACATAGGGAAAGAGGCAATCATGACTGAATGAATCAACTGCAATCTCCACATAGCAAATGTGTAGAATAGCACCAGCCCTGGAAACCTTACCAGATCATTATTAGAATCATGTGGGATAATATCTTTGTTAGCACTTTCATTGTTTTTTTATTTGCTAAATATTGTTTTATTTATTTATTTTAACAACATTTGTTAGCTGAGTTATTTTATTATTGTTAAAAAAGAATTATTTTTTATTTATTTATGATTACAAGAACTGGGGTGTGGGCCAGAGGTTCAGGGGCTGAGAGGATTCACCAGAACCAGAGTGGGGAGCAGATCTACTGACATACACTGCTCAGAGGAGCAGCAAGTGAGACAGGAGCAATCAGCTGTGTCATGTAGGTCAGCCCCCTGGCCGGGGAACTGAAAACTAGCTGAGTTTTCAGGGTACAGTGGTGAAAGCATGATAGTGCTGAGACTTAACCCTATGCCACCTGGGAAGTCCAATATTATTATATTTTTAATACAGAAGCAAAATAGAATTCCACCTAAGACTTATAATTGTGATTTTCTTGTTTTTCCTCAGTGAAATTTATAGGTTTGATGACATGCTATTACTGTGATGTCAAATGCCAATGTGCTTAATAACCCAGCATTGTGAAAAAGTGGGTTTTTAATATTGAAACAGTTTGTGCAATTGTAAATAAGGCAGTATACCCAATATCATAGCATGTTTCCTGAGAAAGCATGACATGTTTCACTAGCACTTTCTAAACAACAAAGCACCAACCAGACCTGATGAAGGCTATATGCTTTTTGAAAACAAATATTTGACTTAGTACCTTGAGATGCAGGATCAGGTCCCTCAATTATTATGTGACCATGTGACCTGGGTCAAATCACTATTTTTCTGTAAGCTTTGTATTCTCATTGGCAAAAGTGCAAAAGTTTTACTTTCCAGGGTTGCTTTCAGTCGGAAAACCACTTGGGAGTGAGTGTGACGTGGGCACTGTATACACAAAGCATCAGATCATGCAAGATAGTGAGAACACAGGCTCTTCCCACAAGAAAATTACAACTTAATTTGGAAGACATCTATTTGATTGAACCAAATAAAAAATGACATTTTTGCATTGAAATAACCAATATGGTTGAACTATTTGTGTATTTCTTATTGTTCAAATGGACAGATGCATACAATGAATTGTATTTAAATGGGGAACAAATAAAAAGCCAGAGAGAAAAAATACAGTCCTCAGATGTTGAATTAACATCACTCTTTCTACCTCAGCAATACTTTGGTTATTTTATTGTCCTCTGGAACTGCCTCCTGAGAGTGGCAGGCACTATGAGGAGGGTGGGTCAAAGGGTCTCTGAAAATCTTTCCTCCCAGAAGCTCTTCAGGAAGTCTCAGAGCAGGGAAAGGTAATGTCTTTTTTCTCGAAAGGTACTGCAAGTTGGAAACTATCTCACTTAAAACAGCACTTGAGGGCCCAGGAAAGCTCCTTCCACACCCACACATGGAACACCAAGATTGGAACATTCATAATGGGCAACTGTCAGCCAGCATCAACTTTGATTTTTGAAATGTAGATGTGTGTGTGTGTGTGTTTACAAGTTGTTTTTCCCCCTCCCCACCAAAATTTTGTAAATAAATATCTTAGTTCAGCCATAGGATAACTTGGAATGGAACTAGAAAATATACACCACTTATGACCTGGCTATGGTTTTATGAAACACTCCTGGGCCTCAATTTTCTCTTCCTTATAGGAGGGTCTGTTTTATATGAAGTCCATAGTCTTTCTAGTTCTGCAATTTGCTCCTAGTCACAAGCTAGGGGAAAAAGAGAATGTTACTATTTCTTCTACCAAGTTTTTCCCAAAAAAATATTTTCTTGTTTTTCATAAAACAAGTGTACTTGTTTCTCCAGGAATCTATTGGTTTTAAAGCAGACAGTAAAATAATCATTTTTAAATATACTTTTGTAGTACTTAGAGTAATAAATCTTCATATAATGTTCCCATCTCCCTTTGATGGAAAAGCAGGCATTTTACATGAAGCAAAGAATTTCTTGAGTCAAATGTGCTCCAATGTCTTCCTTTCTGCTTCTTATTACTGCTTTCTGCCACAAGAGGGCCTAGGAACCTCATGTATTATTTAAGCTGCTAGTGAATTTACAAAGTTGTGATGACTCTTGACAGATAAATGATTCTGTATACTTAAAGCTACGGTTAACACCCTTATAAATAATAAGATGTTATATATCTTTCATTCTTCTCTGACAACTCACATGTGGGGCTGGGGAGAGAGTTATGCTTTTAGTTAGTGGTACAAAAAAGATTTCTTTAGTGGTTTAAACTTCTAGGATATCTGACTTTTTTTTAATGGTCTTAGTCATTATTTTTAGAAGATTTTTAAATTTATTTATGCATATAGATCTGGGGTACAGGCCAGAGGTGCAAGGATGGTGAGCAGATTCATCAGTGTCAGAGTGGGGAGCAGAAAAGACAAATTGACAAAGTACACAGATGAGGGGAGCAGAGGGTGAGACAGGAGCTGTCTGCTCTGCCAAGTTGGTCAACTCCAGGGCAGGGATCGAACTTGCACCCAAGTGGCTGTGGCCAGCTTCGCAGTGCTGTGATCCACACACTGCTCCACCAAAGTGGGTCCAGGACATGTTTTAAGGACTGCCAAAACTTATCTAAATAGTGGGGGCAATTTTAGCCTTCAGAATGTTTGGCAATGTCTAAAAACAGTTTTGGTTTTAAGCTGAATGGGTTAGGTAGTAATACTAATATCTAGTCTGCACAGAGGAGGGATGGAGCTAAACTTCCCTTAACGTGCCACCAAACTAGCAATTATTTGGTTCAGAATGTTAATAATGCTGCTCTTGAGAAGTCCCCATCTAAATCAAATTATGCTTTTAAGGATTCAGAATTCTATTAATTTTCCCTTTCGTTAAAAAGTTGAGCCCACTGAAGAAAATGCCAACTTGATGTATTTAAGAATTTCTTCCCAGTGGCATAGCAAATTTTATATTCTCTTTTTGAGTTAAGCTGGTAGGGTGCGGGAACCAGAGGCCAGTGCTTCCTTCACCTGTGCATCGCTGCCCTCATTTCCTACAGTGACTCGGTTTTTCTTTCAAGTGTTTCCCTGAAAGTTCCTAATGAAAGATGAAGGAGAATGCAGAAAAAAGAAAGGTGGAGAAATCTTAACGTAATAAAATTGTACAGTTTTCCTGTATTTTTGATATCCTGGATGAATTTGTTTTCTTCACATTTTAGTTGAAAATTGCACCGATCAATACCATTTCACTAGATTTATCAAAGTAATCCTTAGTCTATTTGCATTTTTAGCAGCTGCATGCCCTTAGGATACAGAAGGATGTCCCTAAGTCTCAGCTTCTACTTTTGCCAAGTGGGAATAATCCCACCTCCTAAGATTCCATGAGGGCCGGGCTTTGTTTATCTCCTTATATATCTAATACTTGGGACAGACTATATGCTAAATTAACACAGAATAAACATGTTGCACAGATAATTCTCAGGAAGTTCTGATGTTTTACCATTGATATATGTTAAGGTTATTACATTAAGGCTTATTCTTAAGGTAGGTCACAATATTTAGCCATTTTTCAATAGGTAAACTTATTTATCCTGTTAGCTGATGATAGGCATGAAAAATCCCATTTCAAAAAAAAAAATGTATCTTCTCTCTATAAAACAATGTGCTTTAAGCCTGCAGTACTGTGTTTTGGACAATTTCAACAGTTTTGAACAGTACAGTTTGTTCGTAATATAGGGAGATTGTTTCTGTTACTTTGGCAGAGTAAAATCACTTATCCTAGGAGGACTATAATCTTGTGCTTTAGAGGTTGATTTTTGTTGGGATCAAAAAATATTCTGACAAATCTGCTGAAGACTATGGTCCATGTAGCCAAACGTCCTACCTTGAAAGCAACATTGCCCATTTAATGTGTGGTTAAAGGATAGGTTTTTGAAGGCAGACTTCAGGGGTGAATCCCACTGGACCCTAGCCTAGTGAGTATCTGACTTGCTTAATAACTCATACTCCAACTTCTCAGTATTATAATTGTACTTTTTATCACTTAACTATCAGGCAATCTTTGGGGTGACTTTTGCAGACCATGTGTTCTCTGAGCTTTTTACCTAATGATTTTAGCACCTATTGATGATCCTTGCTGGAATTAATT